AGTAGTTTGGCTGATCAATAAAATAAGCATCTTTCAAGTCACCAGTTAATTGGAAAAGACTGATTTCCACTCGTCAGTAAATCTATTTGGGTTTTTTATTATTGTCTATCTAATTTGTTTCCATGCAACTATTTTTCCCCCAGTGTTGGTTACACCCTTTTTTGGCTATTTTTTGTGAACTCACAATCAGGAACAAGCAATGTTCTTTTCCCTTCCTGGAAAGCAAGCCTGCCCCTTAACAGCTTACTCATTTTTTGTTCTGATGCATTTTCTTTTCTTTTTTTTTTAAGATTGAGAGTCACCAAAAAAAAAAAAAAAGATTGAGAGTCATAAATGAGAGAGAAATGATTTCACTGTTCAGCATGATAGTTGTTAAAGTTCCTTGAACTTGGAAAAACCTAGCTCTCAATTTGCAGCACTTTTACAAATAGTTTTTAGAAAGATGAGCTCTAAATGATCAGAAATCCTACAAACACATTTCAGCTTGTTTTTTTGGCTAGAGGAGTTTTATTCTCCCTCCAGGACTTCTCTCAATCACTCAGCATTGTTTCTCTTGGAAATTTTTCTTTCCAGATGCATTTCTGTATTCACAATACTGCACTCACTTTGCCATATGGTCAGAGGATCTTAGAACTGTATTCAAAAAACGTTGACATTCTTCTTTCTTAGGATGTCCAGCCATAATAAAAGACAAGTCACTTTGAATTTTCTTTTTCTGTTCTTCTGTGGTGGAGATTGAACCCAGAGCCTTAAGTGTGCTCAACTTGTGCTCTACCACTTGGTGACATCCCTAACCCCAAATTTTCAAATAAGGTTTCATGTCTATCTAAATCATAATCAGGGACCTTGTTTACATTTGCTACATTTCCACTCATCTCTATGTGCAGACACTTACATCTTGTTAAGTGTTAAGCTTTGTTTGTTTAACAGCGATTTTGTGGTTACTTGTCATATATCAGGCACTGTGCTAGGTTCTAGAGGTATAATGACGAGAAGGTGTTTACAACCCCTGCTGTTCCACATGGCAAAGTCTAGGGGTAGATCAGAGTCCACTAGCCATGCAGAAAACAATACAGCAAGTGCTAAGGTGAAGGAGGCAGCTGCTGTGAGAATGAGAGATGACATTAATGACGGCCGTCACACCAATCCATATTTAGTGTCACTGAGTCCCAGGCACTGCTATCATCCAATCTTCACAGTGGTCTTATGATGTTGGCACTTACTATTATCTTCTTTTACAGATGAGGAAACTGAGGCAAAAAATATTAAGTAGTTTGTCTAAAATCCCACAGCAGAGTCAATATTTAGGGGCATGTAACACCAGCTTGGTGCCATTGAGAGGACTTTAAAGAGGAAAGGATATGTGATCTTGGAATTGACAATAAATAGAGGTTTCAGGGGGGAAAAGGCCCATCCCACGTGGAAAAAATAGTATATACCAACATTGGCGTTGGAAAAGAGCAACTCATTTAAGGAATTCTAAGTTCAATATTGGCCTATGGAGTTTGAAAGGAAGAAAGTGATGAATTATCAGACTGGAGTGAGAAGGGACAGACTGTGAAGGGCAAGGTACACCAATCAAGGGCCTTGGATTTTATCTTGAGTAGAGCAAGAAGCCATGAAGCAAGACAGTGACACTATCAAATGTGTTTCCAAGCTCCTCTGGTAGTAGAGTGAGAGAAGAACCAGTGGGTTCTGTGGGGGAGATAGATGGCTGTTGCAAGAATTCAAAGAGAGTTGCTTATGCCTCCTATAGGACTGATGGCAGTAAGAGTGGGGAGAAGAGGATCTGAGAGATCTTTAGGGGACAGAGTTCACAGGAATGGATACTGGCTATGTGTGGGTCATCCAGGGGGCAGATGATTCTCTTGCTTGGGTAACACCAGATCTAATGATATGCCACCTTCTGTGACAGGGAAAAGAGGAAGCAGAATAGATTTGGTATGAAGAGGGAGGTGAGTCCAATGGTCCAGATGATTTTGGGCACATTTTTGAGGGGCTAGGAGAGGCCTGGAAGGTAGTTGGATATCTAGGTGTGGAGCTCAAGAGACAGACCTGAGCTGTTGTTGAACTTTGGGAACCTTTATCATCTTGATGAGAGCTGGAGGCAGAGATGTCTGAGATTGCCCTGGGGATGTGGAGTGAGAAGAGAAGCAGGTCAGGGGAAGTTAGTAGGAAAAATGAATTGCCAAATTTTATAAAGAGATCTGATGGAAAGGAGAGAGAGGGAAGGCTGGGGGGAGGAGAGAGAGTGAAGGAGACTTGAGAAAGTTTAATTCCTGTTGGAAAAAAGGAGAGAAAGAGAGAGAGAGATTGAGAGATTGAGATTGAATATATACCATAATAAAATGGAAAAAAATGAATGACTGATAGATTGGGTCAGGTAGAGGAGACTGGCCACTGGGTGGAGAGGATGGGTGAAGTCACCAGTAAGTTTGGTGGTAGGAAACTGAGAGTTGCTAACTAATGATGCTTTTGCTTTCTCTGTAACACAGATGGTCAGACCATCTGATGAGAATGAGGGAGAGGTTGTGCCTCTGAAGGTTTTGAGACAGTTCAGAGAGTTTGGAGCAGCTGCTGTGACACATAGAAAGAGGCGACCAAAAAACAGGAGAACTGGGAAGAAGCCTGGATGAAGCTGGATATCACACCTTTTGGCAGCACCAGCCATCACAGCCACGTGCTTTTCCACAGCATCCTGGGCACAAGTTCAAAAAAATGTAGATGTGTGACTTCAATCCTGACTCTCATCCAGGGCTGGGAAATTTTGAAGGAGGTTATGACAGAAAGGGAGTAGTGCAGGAGAGGCGGAGGTATTGGCAAGGAGCCAGTTGAAGTGACAGTCTTTGGACACAAAATTGGCTGGAAGGGAAGTGAAGACAGGAGGAGACTCGGACGAGGAAAGTAAGGAACAGTGCTGGTGTTGATGAAATGGGAGAATTGAGAGTTGGGGCTGGTGGGTTGAAAGGACTGGGTTTAAATCCAGTCTTTTTGAGGTGGGGTCAGGAGCCACAATGGGATGGGCAGGGAGACAAACTAAGGAGGTCTAACAGGCAGGGGCCACTCCTGTGCTTTACTCCCTGAACTGCTCTGATTAGACTGAAAAAAGACTTCAGAGAGAGAGAATGTGAAAATCATTGAATCACTGATTTAGAGAGAGTGAGGATTGGCCAATTGTGGCTCAGGAGCTAAGAATAGATTTCCATATTTAAATGATTGGAAAAACATTTATGATACATGAAAATTATATGACATTCAAATTTCAGTGTTCATAAATAGAGTGTTACTGAAATGCAGCTACATTTATTTGTGTCTTATCTATGGCTGTTTCACACAGAGCTGAGTAGCTCGGATAAAGTCTACATGGCCCTTCACAGGAAATATTTGTCAACTTCTAAAAGAAGCAATAGATGTCCTCATTTTTTTCTTTGTTTTTGCAGTTTGGTAATTGTCACCTCTCCATTTCTTCAGAGAGAAATTAGAGGAGAATGCATATGTGTGTCATATACACAAACAAGTACTCTGTATGTGTATAGCAATTGACTTATCTTAGACCTGCTTCTTTCACTGTTCTGATTTCTTCCTTCTTGTCTTGGGAGATAAATGTGTGTCATTCTTCCTTTCCCCCTTTAAATAGACTATTTTTCAGAGCAGTTCACATCAAAATTAAGCAGAGGTCCCATACAGACGCCCAACCCCACAGACACACAGCCTCCACCACTATGACATCTCCCATTGGAGTGGTACATTTGTGATCATGAAGGAACCCACATGGATACATCATTATCACCCAATGTCCATATTTTACATCAGGGCTCACTCTCAGACATTTTGTGGGTTATATAAATATACACATTCATCCCATTACAGTATCATACAGAGTAGTTTCATAGCCTAAAAATTCTCTGTGTTCTGTCTATTCATCACTCTCTCCCCCCAGCCCCTGTCAGTTACTGATCTTTGTACTGCATCCATACTTTTGCCTTTTACACAATGTCCTATAGTTGGAATGACACAGTAGGTAGCCTTTTAAGGTTGGTTTCTTTCAACTAGTAATATGTAGTTAGAGTTCTGTACCATTCTTTTTGGTATTTGATTAAGGGCTAGGCCAGGCAGAGATGAGTCCCTATATGAATTTCTAAGGGCTCTAAAGAAGATGGAGAAAATTGCCTTTTCCAGAAAGTACAGTGTAAGGGGTAGGCTGCAAGGCTCCCAAGAGTACAAGGGTGAGGATGCACCAGTGACTCCATCCTATGGAGGGAGAAGGAGCAACCTGTAGGCTGGGAGTTTTGCTGAGTGATCTCTGTAAGATTGGAACCAAAGTGGAATTGCCATGGGTTAAAACACCAGAGCTTCCACACAAGCACTCCCCTTTTTTGTTTCCTCATACAACACTAGCTTCTACTCTACACAAATGGCACCCCCGAGAATATAAAGAATATTTGTTTTTAAAAGGTGCCAAATTATTAGTGTACCTACAGTGCTGATGTATCTTGAAATAGCCCAAGAGATATGTCATTATTATTATTTTTTGAGATATGCCATAATTAGCATGATCTGAAAGAAGAACCACCAAATATGGAAGAGTGGCTTCTTATTCGAGTCTGTAAGTTGATGGTAACCACATTTGGGTGGCTCTTTTTTCATTTTTGGTTAGTAATATATCACTTACTGAATCTATTGAGGTCACTGAATTGCATCTGTGAATGTCTTTGCATTGTTCATACATCTATATCTACTGTAAGTATGATGTGTCAGTTGGCCATTTGAGAAGAGGAAGGGGCAAGTCTTACCCTTGTCAAGTAGTTAGCATAAGGAGTCAAAAAATGAGCTGATGCTGATTACATCTCATAATCAGATTTACTTGTCACTTCTGTCCACCAGCTTCACTGAAAGAATGCTATGGGTGTGGCATGGCAGGGGGTGAATAAAGCATGTGGTGCTGTTGGCACATGGTTCATGGAAAACATTCTATTTGTTCCTCTTTTCCTGTCCCATAGGTCCAGTTAAACACAGGACTTGCTGTTAGGAATGGTGAGCTTTCCTTTCTAGAAGGCACCTTGGGAGCTGACATGTGTCATCAGAGCTCCCAGATGACCTCTGTCTCTGGACATAGAACACTGGAATCAAGGAGCCGGAGGAGCCAGGGTAGGAGATTCAAGGTGCGTTCTCTGGAGCTTCTGGAGCCCAGTGGGATATTTGACAGCTCTAGTGGTACTTCCTGGAAAAGCCCTGGCTGGTTCTCCCAGGCTAGCAGTTTAGCCACTAGCACCCAGCGACCTCTGCCTTCTCCCCTCACCAAACCTGGCACCAGAATGAAGATCCTCAAGGAAAACAGCTTCCAGAAGCTTGAGGCAGAGACGAATGTCGACACAGGCTTCACCATCATCAATTCCAAACCCAGGCAATCTTGTTTGAGCAAATTTCCAAGGGACTTGGGCACCAGCCAGCCACCATCCTGCTTGCCAGGCTCTTCCTTGGAGGTGGCTCCCTCCCAAAACAAAAGAGTCATTAAGGCAAAAGTCCTTCCTTTGTCACTTGGTGGCAAAAGGGACCTTGGAGCAAGGAAGACAATGTCAGAATGTTCCTATCATCTGCCGGTGCAGGATGAAGAAAAAGAAGAATTCTTTATATAGTATAATAAATATGTTTTTCTAAAACACAGACAGATAGAATGTTCTAGAAGTAAGTGGAGCAATCACCCAGAATCCTGTTTCTTGTTCATCTGAGGGGCTTGAGTGCTTTCGATGCACAGATCCATATTGCTTTCACTTCAAATATTCAAAGTCTACAGATGCTAGAGTAACTGTTTGCTGTCCCGATCATAAGGAAACACAGCCAGGGACAGGAAGAAAGCCCAATGCCTGTGTTCTCTGGGGATGCATCCTACCCAGCTGGATGTGTGAGTTCAGCACCTATCTGGATAATTGCACTGTATGCAAATGAATCGAATATGTGTTATGCAATGCTGATTTGTGTATGTAATTTGGTTTTAATTTTTACTTGGGGTTGCATAGCTTATCCCCTGGACAGCATGAACTGTTTGTTAGTGCTTTTTAATTTTTATGTGACCTCCTTTGATAATGAGGCCCTGTTTACCACATACCCTTTTGTGATTCTGCCTTTAAACTTGTTTGCATCTGCAGTGAATGAAAATAAAAAGTGTTCTGAAAAATTATAAACGAGAGCAGAAACACTGGAAGCCAGAAAATCAGGTTAATGTGGATGGTAGACTCTCAAGTTTTCCTACTCCTTGGTCTCTTGTGTGTTTATGCCCTTCTCCAAAGAGGCCAGTGGTTCTTGCTACAAACCAAGGCAGACATAGGATTTGGGTTCTTCTGGCCATATTTGAGTCCCCAAGGTCCTTTGCAATACTCATATTCATTCATTTGTATATTCATTCAACAAATATTTATGGAACACCTTTGTTTGAATAAGACATTGTACATAAATTGCATATACATTCAGTGGCAATCAAACCTAAAAGGTGTTTATGGTTTTACAACTATGATAAATCTACTTTGCTAACTCTCTCTCTCTCTCTCTTTCTCTCTCCCTCTCTCTGCTACTGAGGTTTGAACTCAGGACCTTGCACTTGCCCCTATACTAACTCGAAAAAAGATGTTGACGTTCAAACTTATTCTTCTATGAACTTCTTTCATGATTGATACCCACATTTGCTACACCAGGGTATAGTTAAGTAGTCACAAGTCACAGTTGGAGACAGGGTGTGTTGAGAATTACAATTATGATTGGAAGGGACAAATTCTCAACCATCCATATGCTGAAGTTTTTGGTTAGATCTTATACACATTTTTTTAAATCCAAGGTTGTGTGTTTTAGTTAATTTATAAAGATACTTGATTCTGTGATGGCAGACTGGCTCAAGTGGTAGGTAGAATGCCTGCCTGGCAAGCATGAGATCCTGAGTTCAAACACCAGCACCACCAAACCAAAGCAAAGAATATAAATGCTGATTTAGCTGACTTCCTTCCTTCTCTCCTCCCCACTCCTTTCTTTTTAGTACTAGGAATGGAACCTAAGGCCCCATGGATGCTAGTGTTCTACCACTGAACTACACCCCCAGCTGGATCTTTGAAGACCTGGATACTTATACCTAATGGGAGAGAAAGATGAACTCAGGTCTAAAGACAGATCAAGTGGAGGTTGGGTTTGTGTGCTCTGCCCAGAAAACTGATAGAAATGAGGACACTCAAGAATGGACAAAGTGAAACTTATGATTGATTTTTTTTCTGTCCATAAAATATCAGTATTTTTTTCTATTTTCTCTTTTCCAGATTAAAATTTGATCAGGAAAAATAGAATGAAAAACTTAATTTTGGTATGGCTTTCTGTATCAGGGTTTTTAAAAAATGTCTTATTATAGTTGAACTATTGAGATGCCTAGAAAGGCACAGCAGGGAGAAGTCTTAGAATTTCCTTCTCATTAAAACAAAATTATGTTATTTCTGTAACACAATACTTGGGTGAGAATATAAGAACATGGAAATCACAAGAATATTGAGAAATTACAAAATTGACTTGTAAAATAACATACTCTTAAAATGTCACCTACTGTATCCTACTCAGTATAAAATCTAATTTACAGCATGATGGGATGGAAATGCCAGTGAGTGGGTGAGGAAAGTCCAGATTTAAATTTTCTACCTATGTGATCTTGAACACGCCAGGCTCTTTGTTCTTCTGGTGCCTTATCTACTGTAACAAAGGTGGTTAGGAGAATCAAGGTGATGTATGTGAAAGCATTTGTGTATTATTAAGGACTATAAACACAGGAGATATTTTTATTATATTTTATTGTCTTCTAGTTTATATTTTCTCATATATTGTATTGTTTATGCAATTAGTCATTTAGATCCACAGTTTAAAAATGTCATGAGAACAAAGTTTTTTTTTTTTTTATGAGACCAGGTTTAGTAAAATCAATGAGACAATAAGAAAATAAATCCACCTAAGATTTTTACTACAAATGCCATTTGTTTTCAAGTTCTTATATCTCACAGGAAGGTTATATATAACAAATAATCAAATATGTCTGAGAATGTATGCAGCAAGAATAAACTATGAACTAATTTAATCTAAATAGGTCAGGCTTGACTATAATTATACTGAAATTCCTAAAATGTAAAGCATATTGCTTTTTAAATCTGAGAGCTTGCCTAATCAGATTCATTTATTTTTCATGATAGGTATATTAAAAAATCAGCTGTATTAACTGGGTGCTGGTGGCTCACACCTGTAATCTTAGCTACTCGGGAGGCTGAGATCTGGAGGACCATGGTTCAAGGCCAGCCTGGACAAATAGTTTTCTCTCAGAAAATAACCAGAGCAAAATGGACTGGGGGGGTGTGGCTTAAGCAGTAGAGTGCCTGCTTTGCAAGCATGAAAGTCCTGAGTTCAAACCCCAGTCCCACCAAAAAATAAAAATAAAAACTAAAAATAAAGGTGTGTTGTAGTTGTTTAACTACTTTTAACTTTACTAATTTAGGAGATTAAAAACTCCTAAGTTTCATTTCCATGTCACAAAACGTCTTCAGAAATTCCTAAAGTAACTTAATACTGTCTGTCTTTCTAGTACCTTCTCCAAGACCTCTTATATTGGATTCTACTCCCCATTTTTCCTGTCTATTCCTTCTGTTGGAATTAATAACCCTCCAGTGCCAGAAACAGACACACAAGAGACAGAAAATCTTGACAAGGAAATTTTCTGTTGATCAAGAGGGTGCAAGCATGTGCTCACTCCTGCTAAGCAAGCATGCAAACACAAGATGGCTGACTGTGGCTCCTCCTTATATCCCTGACGCAGTTGTACCTGCCCCTCACCTGGGATTGGTCCAGGTCAGAGGTTCACAGCCTTTCCCAATTGGCTAAAAGGCTTGGGGGATGGGTTAGGGCATGCAGTTTGGTGGACAATGGAGTTGTACAGGAATCCAGAAGAAGAAGCAAGGACTCTTTAAACATGCATGTCACCTAAGATGGCAACCTGAGGAATTTTTAAGTAATCTAAGAGGGTAACAAATTCTTTGATAGAAAAGATCATTTTTCTTAGAATTCCCCCCTCTTTTAATTTAAATTGTTTTCTTCAAACTCTTTCAGGAGCCGTTGGCTCTCGTGTTCCTGCGTTTCTAATAGAAACAAGTTATTTTGGTACGGCAGGGGTGATTGTTTGGTGAGAGCTGTATCAACTAACCACTGTATTAGTCCTCAGACATAAGGAGTTATTCAGCATCCTACAAAAATTACGATCAAGGAGATTAAGATTGAGAGCATCCACCCCTTCCATTTTCCAAACTGATTTTCCATTAAGTCAGTGAAGGGATCATTTATACCTGAATTTTCAGCTAGCTCGTTGGATAGGGTAGTTAATCCCTGTAGGATCTTAGTAATAGTTCCATCAGGGGCTGTATTATTTGACATATATATGCAACACAAAACTCCAATCATTATGCAGACTCCTCCCTTTTTTGGCCAGCATCATGTCTAACACTAGCCTGTTCTCCCAAGCCATATGGCTAGTTGGTCCTAATTGCTCTGCTATTCCTTTGATAGCATCCCTGGTATAGTTAACAAACCTTAGTTGGTTATAATAAGTATAATTAATCCAATCGACATTTTCATTTCTAGTGGGCCACCAGAAGAATACTGATTCCAATCCTGCTTCAATTTTATTTCTGGCTTTAAATTCATTTGGCACCCTCTAGGAACCCCAATGGCATCAATGAAAACATGGTGATCAAAGGAACCTCTGCAGCTGGCTGCAGTGCTTTATCTGTGTCTCTCCTTTGATGTTGTGGCACGGGCTGGGGATCTAAACACTGGGGTGAAAGGGATTGCCAACTGTACCAAAGTACAGGTGCCTGCCCAGTTACCTGGGAGAGTCTCAAGTACAGGTCCATGCAGTACCACCAGACATCAGCTCTGCCCACTGAGAGTGTGGACTGATTCATGAGGCTGTTGAAGGACTGGCTTTTACTGCATCCTGTTTAGGTTTTCCACATTTGTCAATCGTCCCCCCTATCTGGTGAGACACGGGGTATAACTGACGTCTAGGGCGGGTGGCCTAATAGTCCTGGAGGGCTGACCCTCAGGACCTCTGACCTCTGGGAACAGTAGTGATAGCATCTGGCAAGATTCGTTGCCCCAAGCCTTGGCATCCTGAAACAAAGCCAAAATGCAATACATTCCATCTGGGTCCGGGGACCACCCTAATGAAAACAGGACCACCTGAGACTCTGGACTCCCAGTAGTACAAACATAGCAATTGCTCTTATTTAGTGTGTGGACAGAATATTTTATCCATTCTATCCAAGCATTTGTATCCCTGTACTCGATTTCAATAGCTGCAGTTTGTCTTAGGTCCTTGACTTCTACTACGGTTACCTGAGTTCGATTGTTGTATGAACGTGGAGGTAACATTGGAGTGGAGGTAGAACTGGGTATCACCTGGGAGAGATTGGGAGCTAGATGGAGCTCAAAAGCACCTAATGGGTCTGTTCCTGAGACATCTGCCCCCAACCCATATCTACGAAATATAGGTGGTCCTTTTGTCATACTCCAAGGGATTTCTACAACTAATCTAAGTGGGTTACATTGTTTATCTTTACAAGTAGGAGAAGTTTGTGTCCAAAACAGCTGTAATTTCCACTGTAGTCTGTTAAAAGACTGTCAATTGTTCTGGATAGTGGAAATTGGAGTCTTACCAGTGTCTCGGGGTCTGGTCCAGCCCTTAGGACTGTCATAAAAAGGAGAAGTGTATCCTTTATACCCAGTGTTTCACCCCACATCCGTCCACTCTGAATGAATACCATCTTCCCTGTGGGTCCCAGGATGGGGCATGTATAAAAGGGATATCCTTGGAGCTAGAGTTGGGACATAAGGCCTCCACAAGGAAGGATCTGGCATGCATTGAATTCAACAGTTAAGGGAAAAGTACTCTAAGTTCCATTAATAATAAACATACCATTTCCCAAATGAAAAAGAAAGAATATTTTCACTATAGTCTTTTTTAAGTCACTTTGGTGTTGCCTGGATATGACAGCACAGCCCATTGTTCCTTCTGGTTGGGTAGGGGTGCCTTCTTTACCTGTGTGTGATGAGTCCACCCCCACTCTGTGGTCCAGACAGCTGTCTCTGTGGTCTGGACAGCTGTCTCTGTGGTCAGCAGGACCAGGAAGGGTCCTTCCCAAGCTGGCTCAAGCTTATTTTCTTCCAGGTCTTGATCAGCACATGCTCACCAGGCTAGTGTGGGTGAACAGGAAAGTCAAGTGGAGGAACCTGTGCTTACAACCCCTGTTTCCTAAGAGAAAGTAAGGTAGAGGACAATCCAAGTACATAATTTTTGAGGAAATAGTCTTTGGTTTGAAAGGTAGGCACATCAGTAACAGAGCTAAGGTAAGGAAGACCATAAAACATTTCATAAGGGGAGAGGCCAATGTCCTTC